TCGCAGAATATTATTTTTTCTTAAATCTAAAAAATTACCTATTTAAAGCTATATTTTCTTACAATTTTTCTTAATTTTTCCTCGAGATCTTCACCGTCAACGCTTTTGAGATGTACGGACCCAGAAGCTCTAAAGTTTCTAGTCATCAAGAAAAAAAACACTAAAAATATAAGTTTATAAATAATGTAAAAAGCTATTGTAAAAACAAATAAATATCCATTGAACATATAGTCCGGAACCGAAAGAACCGCACCAAATTGGAAGGTTTGGTTCGGTTTTGTGTAACAAATTTACTTGAATGATAGTGTCGGTTTGGTTCGATTTTAGTTTTTTCTTTTAAACGTCTGGATTCATTATTATTCAGTTACAAATATACAATACTTATTTTATAGTTTATATATACTTATTTTATTGACATTTTTTCGTTATATATAGTTGCGGATATGTTTGGGCACTTCGGGTGAACAATAACCAAGCCCAAAAATGATTTTCATAAATAAATATTACATATCTAAATTGAAATCAACATTCATATGATCACCACACAACAGAACTAAGAAAACGCTTCAAAATACAACCACACAGAGATATTTAATTCATACTAGTAAACTGCAAAACGTCTCATTGTTTCTAATTTTCCTAAGCATATTTTCCCACTGTTGCTGCTACTATCTTGAATTAAACACTCTCAAATTGTTCCCTTCTTCTCTTTTCGCATTTGATGCAATTTCACGCCTCCCATTCCTCTTCCATGTCGCAGCGACTGATGAGTTCACTAGTAGACCATATGTCTCCGAAGCACAAATAACCATTTTCATTATTAAATTTCTCTTCAAGACGCCTGTAAACGTTCTTAAGCCGAGCATACCGCAAAGGCAGCATTTTGATTGCAAAGTGCGCTACAATCTTGTCATCCTGATAGTCATTAATGCCCACTTTCTTTAACTTAGCCACGACGGTTTTCATCCTCATGATAAACTCTCTTACATTCTCATACTCTCTATAACTCATCGAGAAAAACTCGGCTTGCAACATAATTCTCTCTGCCTTTTCATTTTTCGCATAGAAATTCTCCAGCCCGTTAAGGAATTCTTTTGCGGTTGTAACATCCTCCAGTACACTGCCCCTGAATTCTTGCGGAATCCGGATTCTCATTATCATTATACTCACTCGGTTAGAGCGGTCCCAACGACGGAGTTCTTTAGGAGAGCTTGGACGCTCTTTCGTGAGGGAAAGATCAAGATCCATGAGAGCGAGCACAAGCAACAAGTGTTCTTTCCATTCAGAAAAGTTGGATCCATTTAGCATCGGGATCGACTCGATATTGGAAAAGCTAGATTTGCAACCCAACACTAAAAATAAAGAAAAAAGATTGTCAGATATGGTGTAGTTAAGTAAACTTTGAATCCAACGTTTACATTGAGCATAAGGGCTTATATTATTGAGATGAAATGTCCTTATCTTTAAAATATACGATTAGGGTAGGGAGAACTGATAACACTAACAGAAAGAAAGGTTCCAGATAACGAACTCTGAGAGTAGAAACACTAGGCTCTTAGTGATTCAAGAAAATAGTGAAGCCCTAATAACAGAAAGATCAAGAATATAGTTTAATTAACCTGGATTCATGGTTGAGAAGTGTAGCACAGTGGATTTTCTGACCCAAATGTCTAAATTTTGTGTATGAAGAAGATTAAGGGAGATGATCTGAAAAGAGGAAACGATAC